AGGACGCACGTACCAGCACGTCCCACAGATGTTTGATCAGACTGGGATCTGGATAATTTGAAAGGCCAGGTCGATGCCTTGAGGTCTCTGTTATGTTCCTCGGGCCACTCCTGAGGGGTTTTTGTGGTGTGGCATGGCACATTTTCCACTGCTACTGGGGAGTGCTGCTGCCATAATGGGGGGTGCCTGGTCTGCACTGGTGTTAAGGTGGTTGGAGCGTGTCAGGTGGCATCCATGCTAATGTCAGAACCCAAGGTTTCCCAAAAGAGCATTGCACTGTAACAATATGATCGATGTTGTACGCAGTGGTTTTAATGTTCTGGCTAAACAGTGTAGTTTTGCTGTTGTGAAATGTGGCTCCCCTGTACTTCAGTTCATCAAGAATGTTTGTATTTTTTCTCTTTTCTAATTGTTTACAAATTTAAGGTAACATGGTGAGTAAGTGATAAAAAATGATCATTTTGCTGGTGAAGTATTCTTTCAAAAGTTCTGATTTTTTCAATTAAAAATTCTATACAAAATACTGTCGCCAAGAAGAAAGCTTTTTGGTTGGGGTATGAAAGAGGATGGAAACGGTCCTTTATGTAAATATGAAATTGAAAATATATTGCATTTATGTCCTCATGTGGCCACTTTTTGGATGACTATCAAAAGATGGCTTGCATCAAGTTTGAAAGTTTTTAACCATGTGCCCCCAAACAGTAATGCTGAATTAAGAAATGGCTGTCCTAGCATTTTAAATACTATTATATTATTGGGAAACTATTTATTTTTTCCTTCTTTCTTTATGTTAGATGGCATTATCGCTACAAGGCAGGAGAAACTGAATGGCTATGAAAAATGATGGATAATAATAATATAATAGTATAGGAGAATAATATATTTAGTTATATTTAGTTATTTGTATTGTTTAAATACAGTTTTGCAGCGTAACTGATGAGTGAACTAATTCAGTTAGTGTCACTGCAGGATAAACTGCTGCTGTTTCCCTCTTTTACATGTATTTCTTTGTTTTGTTGCATTTTCTATTTTCAAAAACAAGAGCAAAAATATAGACTGCTGTCCCCACTTTTCACACCTGAGGAGGACTGTTAAAGTACACAGATCCTTAGTTTACTTTTTCTCTGGCAGCTCTGAGACAGTTTCTTAAATGAACTCACGAGAAAAACTTTATTCATTCTGAGGAAAAACTTTATTGATTCAGTTTGTTAACATTCAGTCAGTAAATGTTGGTTAGGACTGGTTCAATCTTTCTATCTACATATTCACGTCTTAAAAATAAAAGAGTCTCTACAGCCAACATGTCTTCCTTGTCCATATCCTCCCTTGTGGGAGGGGAGGAATCCACCAATATCACCAGTATCAAAGTAATGATAATGAATATAAATATGTGAATAAGAGCTGCAACTAACGATTACTGGATTATTTCATTGATTTGTTTTACAACAATATATAACACATACACTAAAAACAACAGGAACAACAACAGGCTTTCAATATACTGTATTGTTGCCATTTTTAAAAATAATGGAAGAACTCAAATTTTTATAAAATGCTTATTGAGTTCACAAAAACTTCCCAAAACTCAAACAATATCAACAGAGAATCAAAGGTACATTTACATATTCATCAGTAGGATGTGTTGGAGCGTCACAGAAAACAGAGGCGAGCAACAAAGATAGAGAATAAAAATCTATTTGTATATAAAACAGAATCTCACCTGTCTAGCCAATAATTTCTGTCTACCTGAACTCAGCTGTGGCTCCACAATAAACCCAAGATGTGTCATTGTTCCCAAATCCAGTTTCACATACTGGTCTTCTCCTATGTGCAGATATGACTGCAACTGAAACTGTTCCACCACTCAACTCCACCTCCCAGTAACATTGTCCAGTCAGACTCTCTCTGCTCAGGACCTGACAACGACTGTCGAAAACTAGCAATAAAAATGGTGATTGTCTCACTGTTGCTTTTCTGTTCCCTTCAGATAATTCGAGCCATCTGCCTGCTGTGTTTGGATCCAGTGTGCAACCTCTGCATCACTTTTCAGGCCCTTCAGCTCCCTCAGTTGTCTCCACCGTTCAGCTGCACCGATGTTGATGTCTTGTTTGTCCTCTCCCTTTATCTAAAGGCATTTTCGTTGCAGCCTTTTCTGCCTCCGACTTTCTTTTCTCAGCCTGTTTAGCGGGGCAAGCCGTTACAAGTAACACTGGAAGTGATACTTTTGGCTGCATTTTCTCTGCCATTGTGCAGCAAACTCCTGCTAACTCGGTATTTCTGCTGAGGAGTGTGCTCAATATTTCCAGCAACGGTGACATGTGATGAGTGCACGCAGAGAGGAGGGAGGGAGGGACAGAGGGGGGCTCGGGCAGGACGAGACATGAAGGCATCTGATTGGTTCTTTCCACTCACACCGAGAGGCAGGGATTGGTCAGAGTTTTTACAGGCCTGCAGCTGCCACAGAGGTCGGATTTTTTTCGTTCCTTTTTCTGAACACATTATGTATTGACTACTCTCAGGATGGAAGGACCATTTCACCCAGTATAACAAGAAGTGTTTCTGAACAGGATTACCAACTATAGCTTTAAAAAGGACAGTATCATGAAAAATAAGAAATTGCTAAAAGACTGAATAAACACTACTGAAACACTAAAACAAATAAAAATGATGGTTAGTTACAGTAAAACTCCCCAAAACGTCCAAGTCTGGCAAGCTGCCCTGTGTCTTTATCCTTGCCCTGTGTTACTCCCTGTTCTCCAGCAGGCTCACTTTTCACATGCACACTGCCTGAGCTTTACAACTTGGTGACTGACAGGAGAACCACACTTCTGCATGCTGTATGCTGGTGGAGATATGAACACAATCAGTGATCACGTGACACACATGTCCTCACCTGGACCACAGACAGGTGTACGACTGCTCCCTAGTTTCATAATATCCCCCAGGGCTCGCACAGCTGCGGCCACATCTGTCTCTCCATGCATCCCTCTCTCTGCTCTGCCTCTGTCCATCTGTGTGGCCCCACTTTTATGTTTGTTTTTATGTTTGCTTTGTCCATTCTGGGCTACTGTATGGAGGTGCAACATGGCGATCTTGTTGACGAGGACCAGCTCCCTTTGTAGATATAAACATCTCTTTCTAAGGTAACAAATCACAACAATAATTATTTTTGAGTTCTTATATACTAAAGACAACATATCTATTATATTATATTCCATTTCTGCCAATGTATCCCTCTAAATCCTTCACACTGCACCTTTAAGTGCATAAAGAAATGTTTGCACACACAGTTATCTTGATCACTTGAGCCTGTGTTCAATTAGCCTGACTGCATGAACTTTAATTGACCTTTCTGGAGATGCTTGAGCCCTGACTGATTTGTTAGGTTCATTCAAGTCAGGTTTTGGACTTAAATCCTCACTTTTCTAAGCATGCTAAGGAACAGGCCTCTGGCTTTGAACTCCTCAGATCCTCTAGGGTTTAAAACCAAATCAAGGGCAGTAAAGTGTTTTTGCAGTGTTAGTATGACGTATTTAAAGTGGACCAGTTGTTTGTTTTTACAGGCTAAATAAATGTCACGTATCAGAGTGCATTGTTACGTATATCATGACCACACTGATCCCGAGTGCATCATCAGTACAGACAGAAGTCAGATGATGAAACAGAATATATCAGTGGGTTCTGAAAACACAGCGACCCTTCAGAGCAGTGGTTCTCAAACATCTTGAAGTAAATCTAAAATATTTCAGTGGCTGGCTCTTAAGCTGGACAAAAAGTGGGAGTCACACTGGTAAATTAACAAATAAAGTGATTTATTAACTAAAAAGCAACCAAACCAGTCACACAAATAGAAAGGATGAATCTATAGAGTCAGCAGTGTAGGTAGTGGATGAGTGACGGCTGTTTCTCTGAAAGAAAACACAAAGACGTATGGTGTAGAGGTCTGCCCACAGCAGACTGGCTGCTCTGTCTTATATGTGCATGGGCCACACTGGGCCCAGGTGTGTCCCATGATGCTGATTGCACTCAATCAAGGTCTGCAGCCCTGGAATAAAAAAGGACAGACACAGCAAAGGAACCAATCAGAGAGGCCGTCACATTTGAAATATTGTTTTAGCCAAGTACCCCCTGACCTGTGCAAAACTGTTTTGTTAAAAAAAAAAAAAAAAAAGTCTTTATCAAGAGGTCCAATGAAATGTCCCAATAAAAGCCCATTAAAACATATTCCTCCTGATACTGAGGGTATTTTATTGGTTCTGTTTTCGCTCTTTTTCACTTCTCTCTCTGTGTTTCCCGCTGTATTTCTGCTACGTTTCAACAACAAATCCAATTACTTAATTTTTGTATGTCATTTAATGTCAAAACTGGCGTCCCACTCACAGTGAACAAATGTAAATGTAATTGCATTTGTTGCAGTTGACAGTTTACAGCAGCCAATGATTTCACTGAAAACAGGACCACTGAGTTTAAAATGTGGTTTATCAAACTTAAATTTGCATTTTCTCATTGAACTTATAGTATAATAATTTTACTAATTTTACATGATTGATATTTTTTAAAGTAACATAAAATAAATAAATAATAGTAATAATTCTCAAATACCCCCTGCAGTACTCCAAAGTACCTGTAGGGGTGGCCGTACCACCATTACAGAAACACTGCTTTAGTGTGACTACCCATTGCAGCTTTTCTGTGGTGGTTTTGTTCCAAAGTGCTGTGAGTGATCAGAAAGCACAAAGTGCCACTTTATGTTTTATGTGTCATAAAGTCTTCCTTTAAACTTCAGCATGGCAGCCTGTCAGTGAAGGAGACAGTCAGATTTGTTCATCATGTCATTTTGTCACCACCAGGTGTCTCCCTTGGTTTTGTTTTCCCTCTGTGACAGTAGAGGCCTTTATCACAGTGGACATTTGGACAGTAGGAAAAGTACAGGTGTTGTTTTCATGTGTCCCAGATGGACAATTAAAAAATACAAAAGGATTGAAATCCATGAAGCAGAACCAAAGATATTTTTTATTCCACACATTCATAAAAAAAACAAAACTTTATCAGTCCTTGAGGGAAAAAATCAACTTTATTAAATGATCTAATTAATAAATCCTGGTTCAGTTTCTCCATTCATTTAATCCACATTAAGTCTGATGAACCAGAATGTCTGTACTGTAGAGGAAAATCAACAATACTTCACAAATGATTATCAGTATAGTAACAATAATTATACATCTTAACTACACTTTTGAAAAATAAACATCAACTATGATCAACTGTGAGCTCAAATCAAACACTTTACAGCAGAAAAACTGTATATATGTCAACATTTACATGAGTTTATTTCTATATATAAACACTCTAAATACATAGCTGTCGATTTTTTTTTTATTTTTGTTTCCAATTAATCAAAGTTTCCCACTATATGAACATTATGTGAAAAAATGAAACTCTACAATATTATTTTACTGAACAGATTTTAAAAGAAAACCCCCACACTTATAGATTCTGTTCATTTCTGTTCATCTGATATTTAAGATCTATACATATATGCTTGATATACATATATCTACATATATCCACACTGTTTGAGTGACTGTTCAGTGCAGAACCATCACAGCACAGAGAGCTGAACAACAAAGATGGAGAGTAAATTTACTACCTAAAAGTAGATTCTCAGCCTTTGTCTTGTTTATAACACTTGTCTACTTGAGATCACACAATTCAGCAGAGGAATAATAACCAGAAACACCAAGTCCAGCATAGAGAGGCTGAGTGAATGTGGTCTGGACTCTGTGGAGGAGAGTCATGGTGTCAGAGACTCTGTAGAAGGACAAAATACCTGCAGGGTGATCCAGGTACACTCCCACTCTGGAGGACTGAGGGCCTGAGATGGGAGTGATGATGTTGTTATGTCTGAATACATAAGAATCACTCAAACAATATACTGCCCAAGATGTGTCATTGTTCCCAAATCCAGTTTCATTTTCTGTTTCTCTCCTATGTGCAGATGTGACTGCTACTGAAACTCTAGGTCCACTCCACTTCACCTCCCAGTAACATCGTCCAGTCAGACTCTCTCTGCTCAGGACCTGAAGTCTGATGATGCTACTGTGTGAACCTAGTGCAGAACAAAAATATAACTGCAGTTTTAGGTTTTGCGCTATCACTGGGGATTGTCTCACTGTTGCTCTCCTGTTCCCTCCTGATAATCTGACCCAGTCGCCTGCTGTGTTTGGATCCAGTGTGATCTGACGTGAATACTGTAAGAATTCAGCTCTGGTCTTGGGCTGAGGTTGTGCTAGCAAAACATTCACTTCAGTCTTTGTCAGTGAGATCTTGGTCCACACATCACTATCAAAGTCCTGTAGTTTATCTCTGGCCTCTGACACAGCTGCAGTCACATCCTCAAAGTGTCGCACAGGGCGGATATTGATCCTGGATGAGTCTTCAGAGTCAGTGAGATGTGACAGTGAGGGGTAGCTCTGTAGAAACTGGGTGTGGTCCTCTGTGTGTGAGAGCTTCTCCAGCTCAGTGTCTTTCCTCCTCAGATCAGTGATCTCCTGCTGCAGCTTCTCCTGAAGCTCTTT